ATTGGGGTAGCTAGGGGCGTTTCAATATCTACCCTCAAAATCTTAGCTAGGCTTAGATGTTGTGACGAATTGTCTTCTTTCGAACCCTAACCGGAGATCAGTTTAGGATTGGCGTAAGATCGTTACAATCAAGAAGACTAGAACAGACCCGGTATCGGTATGGATCATAAAACAAACTATGTTACTGGCCTGAAAGTAAACATGGTTTAACATTTACTAAATGGAACTCTCTGTGTTAATCTTAGTATAAGCATAGACAAATAGAATACATATTTATTCTATTCGTGTATGGTATAAGAATCGGGCCAGTTATGTCAATTGTTTATGTTAACTATAGTCATAAAGTTTTTTTTAAGACGGCAATACTTAAAAAAAAAGGTTTGTTAGACACGTCTGTTTAACGTAAAACACAAATATACGATCTAAGATATACTTGATTCCATTTTACCTTTAGCTTGTCATACCAACTAATTTTTTGTATAAGGTAACACAATAAATTCCTCTAAGGTACTAAAAATAAGTCATTCAATTACTCACCTCGATCGATTGTGATGAATCGTGTAGTGATATGAAGTTTTGTATTTTACCCAGTATCACCGCAAGTTTAGTCGGGTATACTGATCTAATCAACACAGAAATGGTGTAAACCTTACTACAGTCACGTTAGGTAATTCGAAACTGCGATATGGAACAGTTGAAAGCGAATCGTGCATTACGTCATCGTGTTTGACATTGTTAAGTGATCGAAATACTGCGATTGTAAAACAAAACTGAGTAAAATGTAGGAAATAGTTTTGTAGTAGCAACTGGAGATTTTTGAAAATTTTTAATGTTGGTACAACTTATTTTGTAAATTCAGTTTAAATGTAAATGCCTTAATGTTAGCCAAGTAATGATAAAATAAATACGATAATTTACATAAAATAGTGATACAAAATTGTTCTAGTCAGGCAAGAAAAGTAATAATAAATTTAAAACTACAAAATAAACTATAATGATTCAATTTTATGAAAATAAATACAATCTGAATGCATATAAAAATATTTACAAGTTTACTTTACGGGCCATTCTTGAAAAATGCCGACTTACTCGTCACTGTGGTTTAAAAAATGTATTTGTTTTAAAAAAAATTACATAAATATGCCTATCAATAAATATACAACAATATATACATGGAATAAATAGTTTAATAACCTAATTTTAATATATTTTTAGATTCTTTTCATGAACGGAGGTATACATGTATACCTCCGTTACGTGTCACAGGTCCTAAAATACACGGTTACAAAACATTTTCTCATGTTTGGATTATAGCTAAATCTTAACATACAGTATTATTCCAACACATTAAATACAATCTATCAATAACTGCAAATTAAAAACACAAATAAATATTTTAAATGAGTTTATTTGATCAATAAACACCTGTCACAAGATTTAAGGTTCTTACATCCACTCTCTTTATAAAATTATTCAGGAAGAACCAGATGTTAATCATAGTGTATTACTCTATGTCAGAAAAGGCGGGAAAAGTGAAAAAAAACTCTGGATAGTGGACAACATTGTGAAATGTGGGTGTTGGATATTGTTTCAAGTTAAAGTTTAAGTTTTACATAGGGACTGTAACTTTTGGTATCCTCCGTTCATTGTTTAATGAGGTAAGTTAAATTTGTTAATTAATATACAATGCATGTACATATAGGCTTTTATTATTGTTTCTGATTTCTCAAAGGCTAGAAATCCTAACCTCAAAATTAAGTGTGCTACTCATGTTTAAGAAAAGTTCTGTATCCTCCGTTACAGTATCCTCCGTTACAAACTATGGGTAACGGAGGATACCGATTTTGTAATGGAGGATACATTATATATTGATTGGGAATTCTTAAGAGATTTTTATGTGATTTGATAATGTTTCTGTTAAAAATAATTTAAGTTAGCACACTTAAGGAGAAAACCGATTTTTTCTGATGAAATTATGCATGTTTATGGATTCTTAAGATGAAAAAGGCTATTCAACACTGATATCAATATTAATCTTTTGTAAATATTTTTGCTTGTTTAAAAGTTCACATATAAATTAGGTGAGAGTTTAATTTTTTTTAATGTTATTAATGTTAGTAAAAACTTTACATTTGTATAAGGCCTAAACAATAATGTTAGTTTGGCACTTTATTTCAGACTACAATGGCGAAGAAAAAAGGTCAAGCACTTAGTGCCAAAGAAAGAATGAGGCGATATAGGGAAAAAATCAAATTAAACCCAGAGTTGCATGAACAAATGAAAAAGAAAGAAGCAGCAAGATATAAAAAAAGAGTAGAGGAGGGGAAGATAAAAACAGCAAAATGTAACCTGACACCAAGAGAAAAACGGAATTTAAGAAAGGCTTGGCGGAATAAAACTAGCAAATATCGAGCTAGTATAAAAAATAAAGAATTATTAATAAATCAATTGGAAGCCGATTCACCTCCACCTTCTCCATGTCAACAAGATATAGAAGATAGGCCTGCCAGTAATGAAGACAAGCGAAGGGAGAGTGGAAAAAAGAAGAGAAGAAAGCATAATAAAGCTATGAGTGACAAAATAAGAAAACTGGAAGAGAAACTGAAAAACGCTGAGCGAAAAGCAGCAAAGTATAGACAACGACTCTACCGATCAAACGTTGCCAATTCAAAAAATAATAATGATACACCAAAAAAAATCGTTAAGCTACTTGATTCAAGGAAGAAAGTTAACCCTTTGGTCAAAAGGCAACTCCTCTTTGGAGCTGTTTTGGCTAAACAGATTAAGGAAAGTTATAAGAACGAAGGAAGTAGAAAGAGAAAAAGAGATTTTGTTCAAAAGTTAGCTGGTTCTATTGTTAAAAAGTACAAATTTTTGAAAAAAGTAACAGCTTTAACATCAACAGAACCCATGCCCACAATCACCCGAAACACTGAAGTGATGCAGAAAAGAATTCGGAAGAAAAATGCTGTGCATGCATTCTTTATAAAGGATGGTAATAGTACAATGACACCTGGAAAAAAACAAACAATAACTAGAAACAAGGTAAAAAAACAGATTAGATACTTGAGTAATACATTGAAACACCTACACAAGAAATTTTTGAGTGAGAACCCAGAGTTTGACATATCTTACTCATTGTTTTGTAAATATAAGCCTTTTTGGGTTAAAGAACCTCATTACTCAAATAGAGACACTTGCCTCTGCACAACACACGAAAATTTTGAACTATTGATAAAAAAACTAAAGTCTTTGAACATAATAAGTGAAAACTCATCCATGGATGTTGTGCAGGCTATGACTTGTAATAACACAAAAACCGAAGAAAAATGCCTGGAAAGGAAATGTCAAAAGTGTTCCAACAAAGTGATTACATTCAAAGAACATGATCCAATGGAAGGCACATGTTTAACAAAATGGGTTACCAAAAAAGTACCGATTACCATTAAGGGTACCGAAAAAATGGTACAGAAAACAGTTAAAGAAGATACTACTTGCAAAATAGGTGATCTGGTTACAGAATTTGAAAAAGCAGCACCTAAATTTCTTCAGCACATTTGTAACATATACCATCAATACACATCTTTTGATACTTTGAAAAAGAACTTGAAGCCTACAGAAGTTATAATTCATGCAGATTTCTCAGAAAATTATGGTTTTAAATATGCTCGAGAAGTACAAGGGGCACATTTTGGGGCTTCTAAAGGCCAAGCATCACTGCATACAGTTGTGGCGTATTACTGTTCAGATGGCTCTATTAGGAAAAGGTCTTTTGGAACATTTTCAGAAAACTTACGACACGATCCGGCATCCATCTGTGCTCATTTGAAACCAGTTATAGATAAATTAAAGTTACGAGTAGGAGAGATCACCAAAATAGATTTCGTGAGCGACGGCCCTACAACGCAATATCGAAACCGTATAATGTTTTATCTGATTGCAAACTACATTCCAACTCAGTTAAGAGCCTGCAAGTCTATTCATTGGCACTTTTCTGAGTCAGGCCATGGAAAAGGAGCTCCAGATGGAATAGGAGCCACTCTTAAAAGGACAGCTGACAGGCTAGTGGCTTTTGGAAATGATATGTCAGATTTTCAGGTATTATGCACAACCCTTCAGAAAGAAGTGTCTACAGTTGAGGTGATTGTTATTGAAAACGAAAAAATACTTGAAATTGATAACATTATTCCAGAGAAAAGTAGCATTGCTGCTTTTAAAGGTACAATGAAAGTACATGAAGTGGTTTGGAACAAGGGATCTCAAGAACTACATTTCAGGCGGCTGACCTGCTTGATGTGCGAAAAAAACTGTAAACACTATAACCTTGGAATCAAGGATTTCAGCAATGGTATCCTTTTAATTTTGGGCATTATTTGTAGCAAAATATTAATTAGCTTAAATGTAGTATGACATACACTTGTTTAAAATAATAAAAACTATGTTGGTGCTTAGTTCTTTTACTAACACAACTCATAATGTGTCACATTAAACCAAATCAATATTATGTTTAACACTGAAATATATATGAGCTCACATTCTATCAAAACAATACACAAATTCACTTCAAGAATTATTTAGTGCCACATAACATTGGTTTGAATCAATTTTTAATTGTTGAATTATGTGTGTGTGTTTTAGAAAGATAATAACTATAGTATTTCCTTAACAATTTCAACAGTATGTTTACAGTCATACATAATCATAATCCTATTCATCTCCACATTACCTTTGTTAAATAAATACAGCAAACATTTTAAAAATATTACTATTGTTTGTTTTAACTGTCCATATGAATGTTATTGTAGCCTAAAATATTTACATGTATTCAAGCGTGCGTTGTAAGGTCCTTATGAAACTGATGTGTACACATTCCCAGTTATTGTGTCTTCAATCAGCGTTACCAGTTTGCCAGCTGAAGCTACTTTACCCAGTTACAATAACCGTTACACAAACACATGGATACACTTACGATTCGTGACCACAAATTTTTAGGAAATCTGTTACACCTATCTCACTCAGTTTCATAATCTACTGACAACTCGTTGAGTTTGTTCAGTTCAAAATTGATTTCCTGCAGAGTCTTGTTTCTCGTCTCGATCAGTATGAAGATCGCGAAGAAGATTCCCCCAGCAGAACTGATGGTGAAGTAGAGGTAGTTGGTGTACGTTCCACAAGTCTCTGACAACGGTTGGTACAACTTGTTGGTGACGAATGACACGAAGGCGACGACGATCGCGGTCAATCCGGAGGCGATCCCTTTCACATTGGCGGGAAACAGCTCTCCCTGGATGATGCTGGGGATGCACGCCAGTCCGAGAGGGTAGAAAAGTGCGTAGATCCCGAAACTGGCGTAGGGAACGATGTTGTAACTGTCTAAGTTTTCACGAACTTGTTCCAACATGTAGAACCACGCGGTGAGGAATCCAGTTGCGACGCTACAACCGACACATGACACTGCTAACAACGGTCTTCGGCCGAGTCTGTCCACCAGGAAGGTTGACAAAACGCCGAAGATGAGGTAAAGTCCGCACATGACTATGGCACATTGGTCTCCTGAGATTGGGCCTCCCTTTGGTAGACTCGTGGATATGTAAGCCGTCATCACACTACTGCCCGAGTTACGTTGTAAGAACGCGACCATTTCTGTCATGAAGAGCGCTCGGCGTGCCCCAGGGGTGCGTACTAGGTCCGATATTCTTCCTTTGTTCTTCAAGTCTTGCCGCACTGAGTACTCTATCGTTTCCAGCTCTTTCTTAACGTCCTGCGTACATCGGAGCCACTGCAGAGCTTCTTCAGCGTCTTTAGTCCGCTTCCACATGATGAAAAAGTACGGCGACTCCGGTATTAAGGACAGTGACAGGACGAAGGCGACGGGGACGCAGCAGGACGCTATGTTGAGACCGTTGTAGGGTAGGAACGCGCCGAGGGTGTACTCGAACATGATACCCAGGTTGAACATGAGGGTGAACATGGTGTTGAGCGCTCCCCGCACCTTGGGGTCGGCGATCTCGCAGAGGTAGATGGGAGTGATGGCGTATGAGAGGCCGCCCCACATGCCGCCCAGGACCCTGCAACAGTGTTCTGTTAGTACATGGTGTTGAGCGCCCCTCGCACCTTGGGGTCGGTGATCTCGCAGAGGTAGATGGGAGTGATGGCGTAGGAGAGGCCGCCCCACATGCCGCCCAGGACCCTGCAACAGTGTTCTGTTAGTACATGGTGTTGAGCGCCCCTCGCACCTTGGGGTCGGCGATCTCGCATAGGTAGATGGGAGTGATGGCGTAGGAGAGGCCGCCCCACATGCCGCCCAGGACCCTGCAACAGTGTTCTGTTAGTACATGGTGTTGAGCGCCCCTCGCACCTTGGGGTCGGCGATCTCGCAGAGGTAGATGGGAGTGATGGCGTAGGAGAGGCCGCCCCACATGCCGCCCAGGACCCTGCAACAGTGTTCTGTTAGTACATGGTGTTGAGCGCTCCTCGCACCTTGGGGTCGGCGATCTCGCAGAGGTAGATGGGAGTGATGGCGTAGGAGAGGCCGCCCCACATGCCGCCCAGGACCCTGCAACAGTGTTCTATTATAGTACTGGGTCTAAATATTCGATCGATTTAACAAATTTGTGCAGCCTCAGCAATATTTCAGTAGGTTTATGAAATTTAATTTAATTTTATTCTCACAGGCTTCGAGGAAAATTTTATGTATAACCGTAAATTAACATCAAGAGCAACTAACTTTTAGATTTCATTGTGTTAAGACAATATTGTCTTGGTAAATTTTGAAAATTTACAATGAAACAAAGGCATTCGCTTGTTGTTACGATGATATATCATGTGCGACAAGGTATTGCGTCAATAAATACACTTGGAAAATACACTGTGCCAAGATCCAAATGCCACTGTAAAAGTCCATTGCAACATTGCAACAGCTTATTTACTTAGACATGAAATGAAAAAAAAAACAAAGTTCAAGAAAAAGAAATGTCTTGGGTGGAAGAAGCCCTGATCCGGTTATACCTCATGGGGGATCGTCTTTGACAAAAAATGACCTACTAAGTGTAACATTCACCTGGCTACATAGATGACCTCCACCCTGGTGCTGCAGACGAGCAGAAGCCAGCTGACCAGTGCTACGACAGCGGTTGCTCTGAGAGCGCCCCGTCGTCCCCAGCGGTCCATGAGAGTTCCGGCGGCCAGGGGGCTGAGCAGACTGCCTAGGTACAGCAGGGACACGGCCCAGGACACCTCGGCGGCTGTCAGGCTCAGGGGACTCCGCCCCTCGCGCAGCTGTGACACCACGGGGGACGGCCATCCCAGGAACATGCCCGTCATGAAGAGACCGACTGAAGCTGAATCAGGGAAAGATTATAGAACAGAGATAAAGTGCTCTAAAGAATATTTTACAACTGTCTTAGTTTGTAGACATTTCCCCTTTAGACACTTATGTTTTGGGATTGGTATATAAATGTATCATAAGACTTAAACGACTTTTTGGCTAAAATAAAATTAATCCACTACGTCTTCGACTGGTGATGCAGTATGAGTTTTGTAAAGAATTTATTTTCATTACACATCTTAGTTGTATAATTATAGGTAACCCCATAAATTATTGGGGGCTTTCTAATAAATTTTTTAACATATTGGTGTAAAGAAGCTTTAAGACTTGAAGTTGAAAAATATATGTTCACTTGTAAACGTCAAATACGACTGGTACCATGGACGTTAAAATAGAAAACATGTGAAGTTTTATGGTAAATAATTAAAATAAATTATGTTCAGTGTTGTAACATTTTTTGATGCTGTGAAATTTGTAATTTTTTTATACACCCAGTTTTTATTGACCAATATCAATGGTCAATAATGGTTAATAATGTTGACTTTACGTATTAGACCCATTCCCATGTTAAATATGCTTACGTAATAAAAATGGAGAACATTATACTGATTTCCAAAATATTTATATTTAACATAGGAGAGCAAAACCAATTTGCTTATAAAACATTTATTTTTGATTCCTACTTTCATCCATTTTCTAAAAAACTGTTTCACGTAGTAGATCATCGCCTAAGACACATGTATTGCATTTTCCGTAGTATTCATGAAAGTAAACTAAATTGAATGTCCTTGGTAGTTCTTTCTACTATACTTTGTTTCCTGAGCGGGCCAAGCAACGTACAAAACGTCGCTAGAACAACAAGGTATGCAGCAAAGAACAATATTGAGACTGGGCCAGGTTGCAATGCATTCCAAACATTGTCTGCATTTTTCTACCGTCGCCGAAGACAAACTATTGTAGATATGGGAATTTCCTTGTAGGTCTGTTTCTTTTGGACGAGGTAAAACTGTTTCAGATCAAATTCTTTGTAACAAGTATCGGAAATCAAAGACAAAGTGTGTTATGTTTGTACGGTATCTAATCTAAAACCGCTAAGTAAAATAGTTAAATATATTTAAGTAAGGTGCATTTGTTTAAATGGTTAGTTAACTCGTAACATGTGCTACATAGTTGAGATTGATGACATGTATTACTTGTTGGCTTTACTGAAGATAAATTCTCGTATAAGTGTTTTTATGCTAAAATTTTTACAACAATTTCTACTATATTATTGGTTATCACGGGTGATTGTAAAGATTGTTACGGGTTCCGACAGTTTTGAATTCTCCGACTCCAGATGTCAACTGTAGTAAAACTTCTGTTATTTTAAATAGTAATGGATAATCCTTGAAAATAACGTTTTCGTTTTAAGTTGATCGTGGAAATTGTATTTGTGTCCGAAACATTATGTAATATCCGATCAATTCATGCTCGTATACTTTAACGAAAACGACTACAACTATTATGATTCTATTTACAAATTCCCAATTTTACCTAAGTAGGGTTTTAATGGTGTATTCACACCCTGATACAAAGTGTTGCCAACAGTTTTGTGAGTGGCAAAAAGTAGTTATTGTGATTACGATACGATGTGAGTACATCCCTCCAATTTTAGCTTTTTTCCTCTAACAAATTACACGAACGATTTTGATCTAAAGTATTAAAGTGAGATTCAAATTTCTGTGTTCCCTGTAGTAGTGGCACCGCGAGACAGGGTGTTACTCAGTGTTGCCAACACCCGCTAATGTGACAAAGGTGCTAATTGCCACGTGTACCTAATGATTTGTTTCTCACCGCTCCGACAGTGGATTACAGGGCGCACGGCGCACACCCCCCCCCCACCTCTACCTCTCGTTTAGGCTTATTCAAAGCCAAACATCAAATAAACATCATTAATATCGTGTTTTTTACGTTTTGATCCCGTTTGATACGCGGATGTAATTAATTTCATTTGTAACTTTAATCAATTTCGGATTTCGAAAGTGAAAGGCTCGTTGGGGATTTTTTGTGATTTACTTTGTCACGTGTGAAATTGTAAATAAGTGCTTGAGGGGAACGGTGGGTAACGGGGGATTTTCAAAAACAATATTTTATATTTGGTTATTGTATGCGAAATGTACTGTTATTGTTACGATATTATTTTGTGACAGTTACTTTATAGTGCATATGTGATTTACTTTGTTTTTTCAACCAAGTTTTGCTTTAATGTTGCTATTTACTATATTTACAGGCGATTCGTTTATCGCAAAAAGTATTAATACATAAATGTATAAGTACCCAGGTTCTTAAATTTAGTAAGTTACATGCTAATTTTGTAACTCCTAAATGATCAATGATCTTATTTTTTATGATAGGAAGTAGAAATAGCCTAAATTTTAAATTCGAAGAGTGGGCAGTAATCTATTTTACTTTGAAATGCACTTTAATATGCCATTCATGTATTTTTGTTGGAGTTGACCATTCAACGTCTAGGAACTTTAAAGTTGATTTTCTATCCTAGTTAAATCTAATCAAGTTTAATTTTATCTAAAAAAAATGTAACTTTTTAGTCTAATTGTTTTTTTCACGCAAGGCCGATTGTTCGTTAAATACTATGTCGTAGTTTCGAACTTGGCAATAGTCAAAAGATTATCTAGCGTTCTGTATTGTATCGACCACGTAATTTTAACTGAACATTAGAATCATTAACCATGACTTAAATATTGAATATGTCAAATCTCCTGATTGAAACCATTACTTTGCATTGAAGTAAAAGTGAATATTCAGCTGTTGTAAGACTTAATAGGTGGATTTAAAGTTTCATAGAGCGATAAACCAAGTTATTCATCGCAATACGCTGTTGCTGCTTCAGTAAAATGTTTGCAAATCTCGTTAAGTCTTTTACAATTAAAGTTTGCATAATCCCAACAGTATCTCAGTTTTTATGGACGAGCAATTTGGTCAGACGCCGCTGTACAAAAGCTTTATATTCTTTCAAATTATCTTTCTTGGGAAAGTTCTTTATTGTGGCAGTGAAAATTTCGCCCTTTTTTCTAGAGTGGCCAGTGTTTGCCTATAGAATTCTTGCTATTTAAATGTTACTCGATTGTTGTTGTTTGTAATTTAAATTTACTTTGTATGCAACTTATGTTCAGCGATTAACTATGATTGTCCAGAGAATTTAGTACTCGTCTGAATACTATGAACTATATCTATAATACCTATGGAAGCTGCTAGCCATTGTCTTGTGTTGGCAGAACTGCAACTCATCTTGTTTGGTCCATTATTTTACCCTGTGGAAAAACAAAAGACAAAACCGTCTACATCAATGATGGTACATGATTATTGTTAAACGTAACATTAATTTCACACCTGCTGTGATTTTACAACTTTTCATCAATAATTTAGAACACTGACGTAGCCTAAATTGATTTGGGTATGTATCCTTGTGCCGACGCTTTTGTGGTGTTTAATTATACAAGCTTTTATAGATAGAATAAATTAAATAACTTCGGGTTATTAAGGTAATGTGTAGAAAACATCATTTCTTTTTATCTAGTAACTTTAAATTAAAAATAGTGATGCTTCCTTGAATCAACTTTAATAATTCAGTAGATAGCTAACGAATTGTAAACTTTATATACATTTTATCTTTGGAATAATTTGATAATTTTCCAATCACATGTAGATTTAAGAGACTTGAAGTTTGGAACAATTCTGAAGGTATCCATATGCGATATCATGATAAACTCAAAAAATAGCATTTTGAGTAAACCTCCTGATAACAGTCTGGCGCAGTGGTGGTGCGTGAGGCTTCGCCCCAGATGTCATGGGTTCAAATCCTTTCAATCGCCAGTGACTTTTAGCTATACGATTTACGACACTCTAGGCCGTAATGTGGAAAACGGTTCCCGCCTTGAACTAAGCGTCCTGTGAAGGTATAACAAAAACCAACCCTTTTACTCACACGTATTGTAACACATGTTAGGCACAGTTTCACATACGTTGCACACTTACTGCACACACACGGTAACCCGCTTAATGCCATTAGGGTTCGCTTGCGACGTTAATTGCGTTACAACGTTTTTCCATTTCATTCCCGCCACTGATGGTAATAGCGTTGGGAACAATCGATGCGGCTTTAGTAGTTTTAATTATGCGGATATTGAAACCATCGGCGATTTCAAAGTGGTCAACTTGTTTTAAAATGCAATTTTGTGAAATGTTTTGGTCACTATTGTATATAAGGGTGGAAAATAATGTGGTTAAGCGTCAAAAATATCTACAGTGGAACCCTGATAACAAGTCACTATTTAGGCCAAGTGTGATTTAAAAATCCTCTTGAATTATAAAACCCCAAACCCGTTGTTATTGCAAACCTCCATTAGAAGTCAACCATGATATCAAGTCATATTTAAAAATCACCAAGAGAGTCTAGTTATCGAGGTTCTACTGTATATGGTGTCACGGTTGGTCTTGTGGTTGGAGCCTTAGGTTCGAATCCCTCCAATCACCAATAAATATCTGAAACGTTATGTCTTGGTATTGTTTCTCACAGCGATGCTTAAGTTTACTTCTCAAGTACTAACATCAAGACTATAATTAGTTTTGTTGCAATATGTTTCTTTTATCAATTCAATGGATTCTGTACAAAAGTATAACTCATAAAAAATATAAGATCCACCTTGAAGTTGATTTTACAAATCAATTTCTGTAAACAGTAAAATCTATTTTACTATTACTCCTATTAGGTTTAATTGAAAATTCAAATCAGGCTATTTCATACACGAGAAATTCAAATTCATCGTATATGTAAACTTGGCAAACACACATTGTTACTGTTATTAACTGTTAAACTGTGATGGATTTGTGGTGCAAGTATCATTATGCAAGATACAATGATAACCTTTAAATTAACAACAAACGCCTACTTTATCATGTTAGCGTGCGCTACCCTTAAATACTCACATGGAGAGGACTGTACACGATATATTTCGATCGGTTTATTTTAATTCAAGTAGATGAAACATACTTTCACCAGAAATCTTGACGAATTTCTTAGCTTAAACTACCCCAAAATAACCTATACCTAAATAATGTAATAAAAGTCATTTTTAGGAGTTGTATAGCTTTAATCAGCCTTGATTGGAGTACATCTCAACAGCATATTAGGTAATTAGACGAAAACTGAACTATTTTTTAGCTAACATTATTTTCATCTAGTCAAAGAGCTGCCATACAATCGTTTGTTCAGAGAACAATTTGCAGTAAAGATAATGCTATTTCACTTTTAAGCACATTACAGTTAGTTCACATATATTATTAGTTCACAAGTAGTTATAACATTTATTCTATTACACATATGTATTTGGATTATAATATAGATTAACCTTCCTGTGTTTTTAATCAAATTATTAACTGGCTTTGCTATTTCTGCGCTCTACTGTAACAAAAATACATTTGGTTTTTTATACTGTTTCATCAAAACCCAATTTAAAATCCTCAAGTTTATAATCAAACACTTTTTAATAATCAAAAACACTTATTAAAATGGTGTAAATACCTGCTTCGTGGTAATCCTAATGTTGCTAGTGTCGCAACTAGTTTCGACTTTTTACAAAGTCATCTTCAGGCGAAGGCGTCAAGGATGTCAAATGGTGGTCACTTCATATGAAGGTCGTCATTACACATAAATGTACATAAAAACACGAACACGAACACGGACATTAACACGTAAAAACGGTACATTTAACACGATTAAACGAACAACGGTAACTGTAAAGGAATGATGTGACACGACCGGGATGGATGCAAGGTTCTAGACCTTGCATCCATCCCGGTCGTGTCACATCATTCCTTTACAGTTACCGTTGTTCGTTTAATCGTGTTAAATGTACCGTTTTTACGTGTTAATGTCCGTGTTCGTGTTCGTGTTTTTATGTACATTTATGTGTAATGACGACCTTCATATGAAGTGACCACCATTTGACATCCTTGACGCCTTCGCCTGAAGATGACTTTGTAAAAAGTCGAAACTAGTTGCGACACTAGCAACATTAGGATTACCACGAAGCAGGTATTTACACCATTTTAATATATTCAACGTAATCCGGAGGCTAAATTCTAAAATGAAAAAAACACTTAGATGAAAGAGGAGCTTAAATATAATAAATTAATTTCACAAACCAGCGATGAAGTTGAAACTGATATTGACAAGGTACGTTCATATTTGAACTGTTCTTACCTATGAAGCGGTCATTACACACTCGATGTGAACAATGGAGCCTTTTACCGGCTACATGTTACACGTAGTGCCTGCCTCTCACATTCACATGAGTATCACCACATCACTCGCACAACTATCGACTACAATAACTGTTGCGAGATAGAGGTTATGTAAACTGTTGACCTCCTTATCTGGTGTTGACTTAACTGTAACGATTGTTGCGGAGATTTATTTTTAACTTTGAATTCGTGGTTTTAATTTAACAATTATGAAATTTTTGGTCTAAAATAAATTTTGATTGTGACTCGTCAGCCCAATGTTGACGTTGAATTGAAATCTATTTTTAAATAACCTTTTATTGTTGTTAATTTTTATTTTAATTTTGAAATGAATTAAATTGTAAAGCTTTTGCACATTTGGAAATACAAATTTTTGTTACTCACCAACCACTAACGCCAGTGATTGGGAATGCAATAGATACTTTTTCGACAACTAAAGTTAGTTGATATTTAATGTGCTGTGAATAATTTGTGATTCTTTTAAGTATCATAAAGTTTATTGTTTGTGGAAAATGTACATAATTTGAATTATTCCTGAAGCAAACTGAAAAACGGCCAACGGATAACCTTACATTTAACTCTTTAATCCCGTAGTTTAATCGCAGAAAAATTCCCCCACTTTTTAAAGCAAATACAATATTACACTACACAGTAAATAAGTGATCATCTACACTGCACTATGTACTATACTTCATATTGGTATTTTATTATAAAAAAATAAATGAATAGAAAAAATATGTGTGTAAATGTCTTTAATACAAATTAACGTTTGGCATACTTTTGGGTTAATTCTGTATGTAAAAAAGAAATCAATTTTTTTCTTAATTAATTTCAAAATTTGTTTTTACAAGTTCGGTATTAAACGCTAATCTGTCAAGAGGCACCAGTCGATTGAGAGTAAGGTAATCCATCAGGTACAGAAATGGTCCTGGTGATGTATGTTGTATTAAACGTTATTCGATATCGTTGCTGGAGCAGGATATCAATCATACAACCACTCACGACTCTACGTTGCCTAGTGGGTCATTGCTCTTATCATCTGATCAATGGAGCATTCACACTGGCTGTGTGCTAAAATGTGCTAAAATCCTACCACTGCATGGACATTATCACATTGCCACACCTGTAAACAGGACGCAAAACTGCTCTTTTACGCTCTAGAGCAGGAATGGATTATTCCCGTTTGATATCAGCTGATATCAATTTTGGTGTTCCAACACCAACCACTGCCATGGATCAGGTACGTTAGCACACGTTAAGCAAATAACATAACCTAAAAAATGAAACACAACCTAAATGACATTGTATATACCACTGAAAAGTTAATCTTTGTGTTATGATAAGTTATTTATGGTGGTAGGAAAATCAAGTGTGTATTACGAGCACAGGCAAGTCATTGCGCTCTTAATACACAAATAGTTATTTCGATTTATTTTTTTTCTCAGTTTTGACCTAAATGGATTCTTGTTCTTGTTCCGTGACGAAAAATGATAGTTGTAGGAAAATTAGGATTCCAGTCAATTAACTAAAATTGACGTCATCAGCAATGTTGAGTTTGTATGGAAGTGACGTCAGATTGAAAGATACGTAAAAGATGGGCTTGTGTAAAAGGATAGTTAAAATTGAAGGGATTTGTAACATATCAGCTGAGATGACCTGAGTGACGTCATTCGATTACAGGAGATAATGACGTGGGTGGTTGAAGTCAATGTAAAAAATCAACGTCATTTGGATGTGATGGGTTCAACTAAACTGCTCCACTGTTACTGTGTTCCTTTGCCAGAACCCGTTTCATATCTAGTCTGAGATGCTTCGTGAATACAAATTAGTATTTACAGTAATTCCCTGATTAGTAGATTGTGAAGTCGTATTGGTTTTTGCCAGGTCAAAGGCAGTTCTTTGTTTTATATCTAATATATCTTTATTTTTAAAACATTATGTTCTTGACCTCACACAGAATTGACGATCCTTTGATTATTTATTATTTATACAAGTGAACAAATCATACAATAGCAGTTAACCTGTTGACCAGCAATAGCGTGGACAATTTGTTTTAGTCTCCCAACTCTTCTTTTTTGAAGGAATTTCATCTGAGCGTATTTATAAGGCTCGCCTTCACGTCACGACTTGAAACTATCAACTTGAAGCGCACAGGTCAAATGACCAACGCGGATTAATATTGGCTGTAGGTTGTCAGGTTAAGTACTACATTAATTCATATGTTACAAAAGTTACAACAAAAACTTATAAACGATTAAACACTTGCATTTTATTCACTTTATTTATTTATTGACATCGGACAGGATAAGTATCTATATACTTATATTCTGGAACTATTTGCACATAAATACATCTTTAATGCTGGAATAACGTTTAGACTAAGTGGATGGGGGAATATATACAAGATACAACTAAACATACATTTATCACAGACAAGTACATACAATAGAAGTTGGAAGCAACTATAAAGCTCCAGAAACTACAGCTAGATCACAAGGGTTGTACAGTTTTATTGTCCTCTAAACCTTTCTTTCTTGTAGAATATTTACACAACTTTGGTCCAGGAAAGTAACATAGTTGGTACGGTTGTTTACTGTCTTTACACCTTACTCATAGTATGAATTTTAATTAGAGAATTTTTGTCAGCTTAACAAAATAAGTTAACATCACTACGAACATAATACTGTACTACTAGTTTGTAAGTACAATTGATTAACTATAGGAACTACATTGGTAGGAACCAGAAGTTTGTTTGATAGTAAATTGCATAAAATAACATGTTTACAGATATTTTTTCAAATTGACTTAAAGGTTAACTGTTGGCGAAACAGTAACCGCTGTTTTATTTCTTTGGTATGTAAAATATTGGTTTACGTTATTCACGACTTTCCAATCGTCGTGTCACCCAGTTCCGCTCCTCCCAGTTTCTTCGCCTTTTGTCTCGCCGTGTGCTCGACCAGCTCGAACTGGATGTCTTCCAACGTCCTGTCCTTGGTTTCTATGACGACCGCGAGGGAGAAGTAGACGCCGAAGACGCAGCTGACGCTGAAGATGGCGTAGTTGAGGTAGAGACCGACACTCTCGCCGAAGCTGAAGTACATCTTGTTGGTGATGAAGGACGTGAGGGAGATGACAGTGGAGGTGACACCAGAGGCGAGTCCGCGGGTGTTGGCTGGGAACATCTCTCCCTGTATGTGTAACAAGAGAAGTATGAGTATGAGGAAACAACATAGAGAACGTGGGTGTTGTCTCAGAACAGCCCTTCCTCTTGGAGGTATAAATGTATGTGAAAACATTAAGGGATGACAACATTAACTTCCTGTATAAATCAAATCACGTTTATGAGTATGTAGTATTCAGGAAAGAACATGGAGAAAAGCGTGTTGGTTTTGAATAGGCCAAAATCTTTCTAGAAAGACAACATGACAAGAAATGGAATTGTGGGTAGGATGATGAGGAATGAACATAGAGAGCAAAGGTATTAAATACTTCCAACCAACTTAACTAACTGTATAGATATCATGTCAAGTAACTGGATTGAGTGTATAGCAGTATAGCAATGAGAATATGTAAAAAGATCGGGGATGTTGGTTGAAATCACCTCTATCTCTAGAGATAACAATGAGGAGAATTTAGTATATAGCAGTCAAAAATCACCAACACAGTAACATTCATCATTAACACGGTGTTAAAGTATTATTACCTGGATCATGTTCGGAACACAGCCCAGTCCTATAGGAAAGAACGCCCCGTAGACGGAGAAGCTGAGCATCTGGAACCAAGCGATGCTCATTGCGTCGAAGGTGGTGTTAGTGTCCAGGAAGAACCATCCAGCGATCATGGCGTTCCCAAGGGCGCACCCGAGACAGGATACGGCCAGTAGGGTTCTGCGACCAGCCTGCGGTGGTCAAAGAATGGTTGTTGGTAAATGAAAAGTATCTATTCAAAACCCCAATTTATAATTGCAAGAATATCATGTAAACTACAAAACCACATGTTCTATAAAAGGTTACCTACCCAGTTGACCAGAACTGTGGAGAACAGCCCGAACACGATCCAGATGAAGCACAGGATTACGGCGCAGTCGTTGGATGTGAAGCCGCCAGTCTGCGGGATCGCTGCTGAGGCATACGCCATCACCACGCTGATACCAGACATGCGCTGCAGCACGGCCAGCATCTCAGCTATCAGCAGCGCCTTGCGGTTGCCAGCCGTGGACACCAGGTCCTTCAGACGACCTTTGTTCTGCATGTCAGCGATCACCGCCTTCTCGATCACCGACAGGTCGTTTTCTACCTGAATGGTGAAACATAGATAATCATTGATGGGGAGTGTAATTGTTCATTGTATGTACTACTAGTGATATGGATTTATGGTTATTGCAACCGGCAACCTAATTCACTTGCAAATGATTGTGTGTAAACCATTTTAACCCTAAACTTCGTGTATTCAACTTTACTATGGTTCATTTTGAAGGATTGACATTGTTTCACAAACTGACCTTTGTTTTGATCTAGAAGTCTTTGTAACGTAACTATTGCTTGAGATTTCTTAAATTTCCTTTCGAAGTATTTGGTGCATTTGCTTTCCTCAGGGAAAATTTGAGTAAATGCTTTCTAGTTAGCTTTAACGAATCGTCTGATCGCAACATATTTTCCGGCAAAACATCACATGTTGTATCTTTGAGGGTATTTCCTACTTAAGAGGATAAGTTCATTTACACCGCAAGACCAACCCAATACAACTGAACACATACATGAGGACATTATTAGAGGATTTATTTGATTGATTATCTCCTCAGGTGTGGGCAAACAATTTTTAGATGGCAACAAGTTGTGTAATTTGTTACAGCAAACATTCAAACAACATCATCTGACTGTTCTGAGTTTGATTTTACCTCACTCGGTGACTCGGCACAACGCAGCCATGCCAGCGCCTTCCCCGCCTTCTTCCTGTTGCCCTTCATGAGGTAGAAGTACGGAGACTCTGGGACCCACAACAGCAACATGACAAACGTGACGGGGATACATGCTGAGATCATGCTGAGCTCTGTATAGGACACTCTGGGACCTGCAAGATGACATGGGGTTAAATATTACCTTCCTAGTGAACAAAATGTTTTAGATAATTTCCTTCTGGTCATATTTCATCAGTGTCAAATGAATGTACGACAAGGTGTTAGTGCTAGTGGTACTTAGCCATGTTAATATTCCAACTCATTATGTGTCAATTTTTGTTGTTCGTTTGTAAAGTAAATCTTCACGAGCTACACAAAATATCTTTTAAAATTCGAGGCATGTCTTTACGTACCTATACAATACTCGAACATGATGCCCACGTAGGCCATCAGAATGAAGAGTGTGTTGAGAGCCCCGCGTACTTCTGGTTCTGCTATCTCACACAGGTAGATAGGAGCCACGGTGTAAGCACTGCCTCCCCACATACCGCCAAGGAACCTGTTGGACACAAACATTGTCTCTTCAGACACTGAATGATTTTTGGAGAAATTCAGTAAAAGAAAAATCATTGTTGAAGGAATTTTGTGACGGGATTTTGATTTTGATTCCGCTATCAGTGAGCATGCAGAAATTTAAGATTTTACTTTGAACCAATATGGTTTAGTTTTCCCAAGAGGTGAGCTTCGGTGTCGGAACAAGCGTGGAAAAAATAGAAGAATAAGTTCAGGGGAACATAAATAAGTTCAGAGTGTTGTTTACGTTGAAAAATTTGATTTAAAATTATACTTTTCTACTAGTTCAGGGTTAATTACTTTTCAGCACTTCCTTAAATAGCCAAAAATATTTTAAATTCCACTGCTGTCTTACCTAGCGATGTAGACACCCATGGGGCTCTTGACTGTGGCGAGTATGATCCATGAGGCCAAGGCGACTGAGGTGAGGATCATGAGTGTGAGGCGACGACCTAGACAGTTCATGAGCCACCCGGTGGGCACGGGACTCAGGGTGGAGCCTATGTAGAGGACGGAGACCATCCAGGATATCTGGTCTTCTGTAAGGTGAACTTCGGCGTCCGGCTTCCTCATAAGCTGCAGTGTTGGTGAAGGCCAGCCAAGGTTCATCCCCATCATGAACAGACCGATCGTCGCTGTTAGAAGTGTAAACAAATTTGATTATTGAGTCAAATGTCTTCATCATGGATTATATCGGGTTGTTGTAATATAAGGTAAAAATGATCAGGAAATGTAATCTTTTGCGTCATTTGAAGAATTTTTTTCTATAATGTTTGGACCAAATGTGCCTTATTAAACAAATCTTCAACCGAAGTAACATGGCTTAGTTGTCTTTATTGGCCTTGTACTTATCAAAATGTAAATATTATACGACAATTCATGATGCAGCGGATCATGCGATGATGATGCGGATAGCTAAGGCAAACTTCCATTGGAAGAAAAGTTACTTGAATAAAGGTGAAGTGAAATTTTACGGGGATGTTGCATTTCTTCAAAAGTCATTACTCCGAAATGCTCTGATAGGCTATGTAATTGGACGAAATAGTGACGTCCAAGAACTGCCCTGAAATACACTGCTTGGAAATAGTGAGTCCTAAAAAATCTCTGAAAGCCCCTGCTAACAAAATAGTGATATCAAAGATCTGCCCCGAAATTCACTGTTCCGAAATAGTGAGACCCATAACTGCTCTTAAAGGCATTACTCCGAAATAGTGACGTTAAAGAACTGTTCTAAAAGGCACTGCTCCGAAATATCGACGTGAAATATACAGCACTGCTCTGAAAGCCGCTGTTATAAAAAAGTGACGTTTGAGAATAGCTCTGAAAGGTACTGCTTAAACACATTTTTAAAACGGTGGATTTTTTTTAGTTACAGTACTGTAATTTACGTTATTTTTTATTAAACAGTAGCTACAGCTAGTTTACACTGAAGAAACGTTAACTTTAATATATCGATTCAATTTACTAATTCTAGTGTTGAATCTGGAGCCAGTATTGAAACGTCATACGTGCACATTTTGCTTACCTAACGACACCACATCATGTTTCCCTCTACATATCTAAACTAATCAAGGGTGGATACATATAGGTAGTCTTTTTTCCTTGTTCCTAGTCTTTGATTTAGCTTTCTTACCTATTATTGCCGCAATCCATTGTCGGTGTAGTTTCTTTTCTTTTTGCATCTGTGTGACAAATCAATTTGTTAATGTTTATAATTTAGAATTATGTTTAGTGTTGGTTACAATGCAGCTGTACGTCTATTTATCTGAAAATACATAAAATTCAAGACCTTAAGTTTTATTTAATTAATAAATTGTGTTGACTTAATATTTTTTATACTAAAACCCCATATTGGTAACTATTTGCAAGGAAACTGATCACATCCTTTGTGGCATATTTGCAATAAATCTCGTCAAAACTACCAACCTAGGAATACTTAATGAAAGGTTAGTATCATAATTGCATTTATGACAATTTGGCATGTTTTTTTTTATGCAAATTATCCTATTTATGTTCTGTACAAAATCATATTTCAATTATTTTTTTTATTAGAACTTAACGTTTTAGATGGTGTTTGTTATATTTATTTTGTCCTGGGTAAAAACTAAACGTTCCTGTTTCATGGTAGAAGTAAAATGTTATTTAAATGTTCATTATTGTACATTATATTTAACAACATAATAGTTTTTACTTACGGTTCCAAAAGAAAATTAAGTTTGGGTTATTATCTCCTCGCTCCCATAGGATAGCGGCAGGTCTGTCTGAAAACGTTATAGGAACAATTAATACAAAAAAAATTATAATTCACTGAATATGAACTCAATTATATACAAACTTAGTCTTTTTAAGCTGCGTTTTGTGATTTCATATTAAATAAATACATTTCTTTGATAATTTGTTAATAACCCTGAAAATATTCTTAACAACTTTTTATGGATAGTTTTAGATTGATAAACATGACATTGAGCATAATCAGTGCATTAGGGTCGTGTAAATACTACAAAATGCACAGGTATAGTATGTACAGTTAGATTTTTTTATAGAAGCAATTTTATTGTTCAACAAGACAATTCTATAGTTCAATATTACATCAGTTTAGTGATTATTACCAAAGTAACCACTTAGAATGTGGAGACACTAATTTAATGACAAGCTATCATTAGTTTGTATGGAATTATGGATTATTTTTCTAAATTACGTTAACAATTCTAAATTTGTATAAAAGGAAAGTAGGCATTAAGTCGATTTTCGCAACAATTTTGTATTTTCCATAAATACATCAGTTTTTTATTATCTAACCTCAAAATTTACAAATATGAACACATGATCATATTCATCATATATACATACAGAATGAAGTGCATTGTCGACGATAATCCACTATTCCTTAACAGTTTCTAGTTTTAAAAATCTAACTGTTAAAACAATGCATATAGCTTGGACACTCCCGTGACGCCAGAAACAGGCTTGTTATACCTACCGTTGCTAGATACCGTGGAATAATCAGCTGTTCAGTTACAATCAGCTGACGCAACAATACTGTCTGGCAACACCTGTGTTGGCGACCAGTTGTGTCTTGTTCTTTTACTGTGTAATGTGTTTTTCTGTTGTCGTCTGATTAGTCTTGAGTTTAAAGTGAATCAATCAACTAGTGTGATCATGTTTTAGGCTTAAATTTGATTGAATATGATAAGGGAAACTGTTGTATAAGGTAATTTAAATTTGTAGTATTAAATTTTTATCCAGGCAATTTTACTTTTTTACCCGTATATCGAAGTAGCATCACATAGTGAATTTTATTCCGAAGGAAATATTTTCAGGGAACTGTTCGGAGTTCAATGCATCTTCACAATATATATGGTCTAGAAACAGATAATACGACAGCATGATTTCAACGTATCGTGGAAAATATCCATGACTATGATATTTATAAAGCTTTTTTTGTTGCAGGTAAGCGGGATAGTCTATTAATATGGTGTTAACAAGGTAAGCTGTATAAATAGTTAATTTTGTAGTCTTAGCCTACATTGAACTATTTACCTTAAGTACTATCATCGAAATAATAATTCCTCCCACAAAATGCACGTATCATACTAACAAAAAAAGAAAAACTACCCACTACCTTACCTTTTTAATGTAGGCCTACTAGAGACTGGAGGGCATTTTTTGTTCAGTTTGGTTGAAACTTAAAGGGGTGTCAAATAGTCCTAAGAGGTTCTAGGACTCTCTAGAAAAGCTCTAAAATATATACTAACATTTCTCGCCCGATAAATAGATTTTACGAAGTATTACTAAATGCAGGTACATGCAAATTGAATAATTTAGTGATATTGTCTAATAACAATGCTAAATATAAATGCATAAACATGTTGTCTGTTGCAATAAATTCATAATCTATTTTAACCAGGTTAAAATATATCCACAAATTCTCCATGAAAATAGAATAGTTTAGTGATATTTTCTAATCACATTGCTAAATATAAATGCATAAATATGTTGTCTGTTGCAATAAATTCATAATCTATTTTAACCAGGTTAAAATGTATCCACAAATGCTCCATGAAAACTTAATAATTTAGTGATATTTTCTAACCACATTGCTAAATATAAATGCATAAACCTGTAGTTATACATAATCTAATTTAACCCGGTTAAAATGTATCCACCATTGGCGATAACATTGTGTAGAGTTAAGCCATGCGTGTGGTAATCCTTTGTGAGAACCAGTATTATCAGGTACGGTGGAATAATGTTTAAAACTGTTGCCAAAGTTAACCTCGGATGCGAAAAGTTGTCTGTTCGCTCAAGTATGAATGTTCATTTTACTTAGCTACTTAGCAACCAGTTTGGCTGGAAAGTATATCCAGATAGTGTTAACTTCGTGTTGGAGTTGATATTTGTGGAATAATCTCGTTCGTCCGTTGTAGTTGTGGAGTTTATTAAGGTAATGTGTTTTTGGAATCAACTTACATCTATTGTCAGGTTTCTTCTTTCTGGTAAACACGTACCGTAACAAATATTATTTTTACATAAACATGTAGGCCTACAATTCCTTTTCTCAACACTTATCTGTAAAAAATAAAAATAAAACTAATTTTACATAGATATCGACAACGTGTTTAGTATTTCGTAAGGGGGTTTTTATTGGAGTTCTTTCATTGTATGTTAGGAAGGTTTTTTTTTTTTAACACAAAGCTGAATGCTTGGCGAGACTTGTGTCAACAAAGCAGAGGTTAATCGCATGTATCGATGTCGTGACTATGAGATATAAAACATACTGTTATAAATTACCGTAATATGTGCTATTCCTGGCTCGCTGAAGTGACGATTAATGCGATAACAATTACGTTTTTGCAATAGTCAACAATTTTTTGTCATGGTTTTACTTACAAACCATAAAGACGCTGTAGTTTTAAATATTTATGAAATGTGTCCAATTTGAAATATTAGGTCTTTAAAAAACGTAAACCAATTTGTAAAAAAATAATAGAATTTTATTGTTTAACATTAGCATAAACTGTAGTTTACACATTAAATATTTAAATTTAAATATCTTGGGCCAGTTTTTCCTTAACTTAAATTGTAGATTCGTTTCAAAGTTTATTTTTGGTTAAATCTGTTGTTTTAATAAGGGGAAACAAATGAATAATTTAAAATTATATCCTAAAATTTATAATTATGTTACGGAAATAGTTAGAGTTTAAACTAAAGCCTATTGGGTATTGTGTTTTATTCGGATTATTTTATTTTTATCGTGTGAAAAAGGAGAAAAAGTTGTAAGCTTACTGTGGATTTGTTGGTTTTAGCTTGTTTCCTAATTATTAGACGGGATGTAGGGTGAAATAAAGTAAGGAAAGAAAGGAAAAGAAAAACATATACGAAATGGGAATATCTGTTTATGATAACTTTACTTTTATACTTTATACTTTTCTTTGAAATGGCGACCATACAAAGTAGGTATTTTAAGCCAAGTATAAATGGAGATGACGGAAACCCTATCAACTTTTGCTAAGTTGGTGTCAACCATTTTCCACTATTGAGAAGTTTCTCCCAAAATATACCCCGACACATCGTTATTTAAGTTCATTAAACTTAAAACAATGCTCAATGGAGGTATTTGTGTCTAAAATAGTTTTATTCGACACTTCTTTTTTATTTTATGAACATACTAGCTGGCCCGACAGACGTCGTCCTGTCCTAATGTGGTTTTATGTCAAATGCTTGTTCATTTTCAAGATCCTGGTTGAAGTTCGTTCGCTACGCTCACTCACCTCTAGCTTGGAGCTTGTTCGCTGCGCTCACTTGCCTTCAGGTTAGCTCGTTCGCTACGCTAACTCGCCTCCAGGTTGAAGTTCGCTCGCTACGCTCACTCACCTTTTGATTGCAAATTAGGTGTTGTCAAAATTAAAAAAAATAATCGTGCTGCACCCTGTTGGTAAACTTATAATTTTTTAATCCTATTGAACATCACAGAATCAAATTGCTTAGTTTAACCAGCTGTTAAGATTCTTTTATTCCGTTTAAATATGAGTACTCATAAGGTTTAATATGGGAATCTCCAGAGCCACTGGGGCGGAGCCCTTTTGATGGATCTGCACCAAACTTCACACAAACCATCATTGAATAATGCTTAATAATACCTGAAACTTTCATTACAATCTGTCGAGCGGTTTCGTAGTCCATAAAGGACAAACAAACAAACACACAATCATACAAACAAACATACATTGGATTTTATATATATATAGATAGATTTAATTTACAATACCTCACACTAATGTATAAAATCAAACGTGGCAGAAAAAACGACGACTCGCAGTTACTTTCGTCTTAAATTAAACGAGGAGTTTGGTTAGCCATGCCATGTTTTATAATAAAGGAGTTTCATATCCTGATTTTCTTAAATTAATTTCCATATTTCTTTAAAAAAATGAAACACATACAAGCCTGACCCTACAATGTATGACACCAATATAACAATTAAAATATATTTATGTCAGTATTTACAAAATTTCCTCTCAATTAGGCTACGGCCACACGGGCGTTTTTTCACGCAAGAACGCAGCGTGAAAAAACGCGAGAAATATGGGCAGCATTAAATGTTTTCACGCAGATTCGGCGCGTCTTCAAAATCGACCGCCGCGGGCCCGCAGAAGAATAGACTGGGGTGCATTTTTGGAGCTTGTTTTCACGCTCTGTCCCTGGCCACACGGGCGGGAGCAACACGCAGCTTTGATCAAGTCGTTCTAGCAAGTTAAAATAAAGATAGGCCTAAATGTATCTAATTTCTTCCAGGATAGCGTAAAATATTTAAGGGTCTGGCCAATTACACAGTAGGATCTTAAACATAGGTCGATCTTACTGGACCACTTAATAATTTGTTACTAAAAGGAAAGGAATTTAGTTGGACTATAAAATGTAAAGAGGCATTTATGTAGCAGAATATTCAAAGATCTGATGAAAATCTTGTCATAAAAATATTTAGGCCTATATTATATTGATTTTTTATACTAAATGTCAAAATAAAATAATTTTAGTGTTGTTTTCGTATCGAAATTAGTATATTATATTAATTTTGTATACTAAATGTAAATAATTAAATGAAAGGTTAACAAAATAAAATAATTTTTGTATTGTTTTCGTATCTAAATCAATATTCCATTCATATTTCTTGCTCCCTAGTCAGAAACAAGGTTACTATTCCGGCCATGAGGAAGAAGATATATAACATAATTACGTGAATTCGTCAATCAATTGCGGG